CAAACTTATTTAAGAAATATTAGTGTTACTAAATAATTACTGTTTTTTAGAATAATAGTTTCAAACTCAAACGGTGAAATGTGTGACCTAATGCTCAAGCTAAACTGCTGAGGGTTAATAGGATTTACAGCTTACATTTGTCAGGAAAACAACAAGTGCAGACTTGGAAAGTAGGGGGAATAGAACTCCGAAGTTAAGCGTGCTCAGGCAGGGGGAGTGAAAGGATGGGTGACCGGTCGGGAAGTTAGACGATTTGAAATGAGTGATCCACACTTGAGTAGTTAAGAGGGTTGATTAGAGACTAAATCATCAAATAATTCAAAAAATTGAAAATCGAAAAAAATCAAAATTTTCCCCAAAATTTTCAAAAAATAATTTCAAAAAAATAATACCTTTAGTATCGGTTGGTAACACCAACCGGTACTAAAGGTCCCCCATACCACGGCGCGAGCTCACGCCACGTGGTGGGCCTTTAGTGGCGGTTCGTGCCGAACCGGTACTAAAGGGGTGGGGCCTTTAGTCTCCACTCTTTAGTGCCGGTTGCAAAACCGGTACTAAAGGCCCTTATGAACCGGTATTAAAGCTCCGTTTTCTACTAGTGCTTTGGCCATGGGGCGTCAGCGCCTTTGTTTATTATAGCGCCTCCGCACTCCGCGTGACGCCCCTCAATCATCTTCGGCCTCACATTGAAGGTCTTGAGACATAGGCCGAAGTGGGGGATGATGCGGAGGAGGGCATCACACACGACGATAAACGACGAGATGTGAAGGATGGAATCCGAAGCTAGATCATGGAAATCTAGCCCGTAATAGAACATGAGCCCTCTCACGAAGGGATCAAGACTAAAACCTAGCCCTCGGAGGAAGTGGGAAATAAATACGACACTCTCGTTGGGTTCGGGAGTGGGGATGACCTGCCCTTGAGCAGGCAACCTGTGCGGGATTTCGGCGGTGAGATACCTGGCCTCCCTAAGCTTCTTGATGTCCTCCTCTGTGACAGAGGAAGCCATCCACCGGCCTTGAAGGTTGGATCCAGACATGGTTGAAGGTCCGAAGCGCTTAGCTTGAGCCTTGGGTGTTGGAACTCGAGGTGCGGGAGGGGAAGGATCAAGCGTGGGAAGAAAAGGACAGGCCTTGGCCCCCTTATAAAGAGGACGAATATCAAGCATCCCCCGCGTGACCGTTTGGGACTTGCCTAAAATTGAGGAGTCATATTAAACAAGCGTGGTTGGGTTACCCACACCTGTATTGATGAGAATCTCGTGATAAGGGGAACACGATCTCTGCCTCGACAAGACGTGCCAATAAAACCACCTCGCAGCACGTGTAGTGGCTGGTGGAGAAAAACGGTTCGAATAATGACCGGGCCGTGGCGTCCTGTCACGCTATGAAACGTTGTCAGCAGATTAGATTTGTGGAATATTGTGCTCTCTACTATGGTATGTCGAATTTTTTTTACAGAGCCGGACACGATCCTTGTGTTCAAAATCTTCTATGGAGTATTCGGAGAAGGAACCCACCTTGCAATGCCGAAGACATTCTGCGCGCCGGACTCATCGTCATTGAAGCCTGGCTCAGGGGCTACTGAGGGAGTCCAGGATTAAGCGGTCCTCGGACAGCCGGACTATATACTTTGGCCGGACTGTTGGACTATGAAGATACAAGATTAGACTTCGTCCCGTGTCCGGATGGGACTCTCCTTTGCGTGGAAGGCAAGCTTGGCGATTCGGATATGTAGATCTCCTTCTCTGTAACCGAGTCTGTGTAACCCTAGCCCCCTCCGGTGTCTATATAAACCGGAGGGTTTAGTCCGTAGGACAAGAACAATCATAATCATAGGCTAGCTTTTAGGGTTTAGCCTCTACGATCTCGTGGCAGATCAACTTTTGTAATACTCATATCATCAAGATCAATCAAGCAGGAAATAGGGTATTACCTCCATCGAGAGGGCCCGAACCTGGGTAAAACATCGTGTCCCCCACCTCCTGTTACCATTAGCCTTAAACACACAGTTCGGGACCCCCTACCCGAGATCCGCCGGTTTTGACACCGGCACCGACCTCTACAACCACCAATCTGGTTTCTCCAGATTTCAACAGCGAGACTGCCAGCGGGCCTCCTGCCTTCCTCTCGGATTCGCCCCCACCACCACTGGGGCACGGAAGATGCCTAGAGCATCAGCCACTGCCATAGACCGACGGAGCTTGCCTCCAGGCGCTGGGTCGAGCCACCAGACGAACGAAGGGGAAGATCACGGTCGTCCGCCACCACGCTGCTGCCACCACCTACCACTACAGAGTGGCTGTTCGTGGCCAAAGCCGCCCACAGCCCACGCCGACTTACAGCAAAGCAAGCCGCCGCCACTCGCCCACCTGGACACGCACCATCCACCTCCGCCGGCCATGTCAGAGTAGGTCGCCCGTGACCCAGGCCGCAAGCAGTCCCACTACATGACAGGCCACCGACGCGAGATCCGCTTGATCTGGACTGGTCCGTCCCGCGTGTTACCGCGTGAAGAGGCCACCGCTCCGCACCCGCCGCACGCCGTTAGGGGCCCAGTTCTCCCTCGCACCGGCGCCAGAGGCCAGTTCGCCGCCGCACCGGCGCTAGGTAGAGCCATCGCCACCCAGCACGGTGGACGTTGTGCCGCCAGGCCCTGCGGCAGTCCATCGCCTCCTCGCGCCGCGCCATCCCACGCCAGCCGTCAACCGCGAATAGAGGGATTAGATCCCTACTGCCACCAACGTCGGTCGGGCTTTGTCACGGTGACAGTGGGGGAGAATGGCCGGGGGAGTCGAGTGGTGGCGCGCTAGGGTTTCCACCGAGTACGCTGGCGGGAGGGGGCAGGGTTGTCTTAAAAAAAATTACTGGATACTCCCTCCATTCTTATTTACTTTACATATTAGAGTTGATTGAAGTCAAACTTCGTAAAGTTTGACCAAATTCATAGAAAAAGGTACAAACATTTACTATAACAAATCTATATGATGTGAAAATACATTCAATAATATATCTAATGGTATTGTTTTGTTATTGTAAATTTAAAGATGATATGTCGGCTCAGTCTTTCGAAGATGCTCATGGATGTAGGGTGTGTGTATGCGGTCATAAGGGTGAGTGTATGCATGTATATATAAGCACGTGTGTTTGTATTGTGTTCGAAAAGAAAAGAAAAAGAAAGCTGAATGTGAGAGACAGAAGGCGTTCGACGACGCGTTTGGTTCATGGTAATGTAATGTCTTCCAATTACACTGGCTCAAGAAACCTTTACATGTGTTTGTTTTGGGTTGGGCTGGTTTCTCCTCCCCTATATTGGGATACGACGATTCACTCGACTGCCTAGGCTCCGGTTTGGAATAACGAGTAAAAAGCATAAAACTACTACAATTTAGGCTAGTGTTTCAAAAATCTATGAAATTTATTATTTTTCGCTGATAACTACTGAATCAGGAATTTGATGCTTTATAATTAATCATGATTATGACAGTTGGTGCTCGCATATAAGAAAATGGATAGAGTGGACCGTTAAGTTGCACGTTACGACAAATGAGACCCATGTATCAGCCTCACAAAACTCCCCAATACAAAAAAATAATTCAAAATCACTAATATCAATACTCGTCCATGTCTTCTTGCTTTGATCAGATCGGGAGGCAGAGAGAATCCCACCCTCCCGATGCACTCGACCGTCGCCAGCCTGCGGCGCTTTTGGAAGTCGCCGGATCTACTCTGGCCCTTCGCCCTGCGCCTCCCCGCCGTTCTTGCCTCGTCGGGACACCGGCGCTGCCGGCCGCCTGCCTCGACCCGCCAGAATCGAGCGGCATCAACTGCTGCGCCCCTGCATCGGAGCTTGCCGGAAACAAGTCGCCGGCCGCTCCCCTCCATCCTCCCTCGTTCTAGAACGGGAGGAGCCGGCTAGGTGGAGGGTGGAGGCGCTCTGGCGTCGGGCGGAGCCCTCCTTGGTGAGCCGAAGGAGGGGCTGGCGAGGGAGCTGAGCCCCCACCTCCTGGTGCCCCAAGCTCCGGCGTGCTCTCCCGGGTGCGTGGACGAGAGCGTTGACAGCAGATGGCTTGATGTCAATGCGAATCGGTTGCCGACGACGTGCGACGGCCGGAGGAGGTGGGAGTTCCAATGGCGGTGCGGCACTTCGTTTGGCGGCCCATCACATGGTCGGCCCTGGCTTGGTGTGCGGCAGATGGTGGAGACGTGGTGGTGGTGATGGAGCAGGGTCTCACATGTAAGTTAACGGTCAAACAAACATAATGTTTAGAAATGGGTCCGACTTGGCAGAAAGTGGCTTAAATCACTAACGACGAGCGTTTTGTGTTTTTTAAAACAGCCGACCTTGTGTTGGTGGTTATAGCCGACCCTGTGTTTGTCGTTATCGGTGAAAAAAATATTTTTTTTAGTTTTGTGAACCCAGCCCAAATTGTAGTAGTTTGATGCTATTTACTCTGAAATAACAGCGTAAGTTCCTTCTTTTCTGATCTCTTTCCAATACTCCGGTAATCCTGTGCTGAACCAAACAAATCAGGTCATCGTCGAAACCCCCTGCAGATGCGATGCATCCTGATTACATGAGTGAATCCATTCCCTGTCCTGAACCAAAACGGGTCGTCAGTGTACCGATCATTTTTTAAGCAGATGTTTCTGTACAAGAAAGCCTGTCAGTGGCCAAGTTTTCCGTGGTGACCAAGTTCCCGCTTACCAGGCTTGCCATGTTTCCCTTGATCTTGCAAAAAACAATGATCAAATTTTGTGTACGCAAAGTCTGCACTGCACTCAAAATCAGAACAATTTATTTCTCATTTATTCATCGCCAAATCTGTTGGCGATTACACAAGTACAGACACGCCAGGGAAAAGAAACGCAGTACAGAGACGCCTCACCAGACTCGGCAAGAACAGACACAACTGTAGCATAATTTTAGGCTGCAGAACACGCACACACATCAACCAAACTGGCTCCATCCTTGATGATCATACGTCGAGACGCATGCACTCAGCCGGAGATCTCGATGGCCTTCACCTCGGGCTTCTTGACCTCGGCCTTGGGCACGGTGACGGTGAGCACACCGTTCTCCAGCCCGGCCTTCACCTCCTCCACCTTGGCGTCCTCGGGGAGGCGGAAGCGCCGCACGAACTTGCCGCTGCTGCGCTCCACGCGGTGCCACTTGTCGTTCTTGTCCTCCTTCTCCCTGCTCCGCTCGCCGCTGACGACGAGCACGTTGCCGTCCTCCACCTCCACCTTGACCTCCTCCTTCTTCACCCCTGGAAGATCGGCCTTGAAGACGTGTGCCTCAGGCGTCTCCTTCCAGTCCATCCGGGCGTTGGCGAACGCGGCCGTCTCACTGCTCCTGCCTGAGATCGCCGGGACGATGGAGCGGAAGGTGTCAAAGGGGTCGGCCCAGAGGTCGGCGAAGGGGTCAAACACGTTGCTCCGCCTCACGACCGACATTGTCGGCGTTGATACTTCGGCTTGTGCGCTCGGAAAATTATGTGGATCGTAGGTAGGAATAGGATGCTGTTTGATTTTGCTTGACACTAACTTGGGTTAGGATGGATCGGAGGGCGACGGGAGGTGAGCTACTTATAACATGCCGGGTGATGCTCTTGAAGCATCTAGAGGACTCTCCAATGGACGAGAGTTTGGTTCTCTTTCGCTTTCCAGCTTGGCTGTGAGCCATTTTTTTTTCTTTCTATTTCCAGCCCTTGAAGGGTCTACCCTCTTCGAGAGGACTCTCGTACTTGCCTTAGTGGGCCTTCTCCTCTCTTTTTTTGTCATTAATTAATTGTACAATTCCAGCATGTCTAGAATGTGTTGTGGGGGCCGTTTCAAGAAGGGGACATGGAAGACACAGAGCTAAATAGAGGGCAAACGCGCACCCTCAATGTGGTAGCGAACATTCATGAATTCATGAACATCTTTTAGATCCATGAACAATTTCTCAAATTCAAAAATGTTTAAATTCATATTTCTTTTTGAATTCGTGAACAATTTTTTAAATTCACATTTTTTTTAAATTCATGAACATTTTGTTTTGAATTTCATAAAAAATGAAAAATGGAAATAAAAAACAGGCGCAAGCGCTCCCACAATGCGCCGACCCAAAGTGTGTGGGAGGTACTATCTTCGTCCTGGTTTATTAGTCCTCTTCGTATTTGGTGCCAAAATTTAATTATAGATTTAACTGACAAAATGTTACCGCATGTCATAAAAAATTATATCGTTGGATTTGTATTTAAACATAGTTTTCAATTATACTATTTTTTATGATATGCATTAGTAATTAGTTAATTAAATCCAGGTCAAAATTTAACACAAAATACTAAAGGAGCCAATAAAACAAGACGAAGGTAGGACGCGTTTGATATCGTCTCGTCGCCCTATGCGGTGACTAGGAGGTCCCAAGGAGCATCTATTTTGCCGACCTCGGTGTTTTTCAGATCCATTAATTTAAAAAGTTTTATCTTTTGAACTGTGTCCAAATCATCGAATTTCTCGTGTCAAGCTTTTTGAGACTAGATCCCATGTTAATAGGTTTTGATTAACTTTTTTTGGCAAAAAACTAAAAAAATAGGTAAAAGCCAAAAACAAAACAAAAAGGGCAACCGAAGAAAAATAAAAAAGAACAAAAGAAGAAGAAAATAGAACCCGGAAGCACGGCTGCAGTTTTACAAAATAAGAAAAAAAATGTGTTTCCCGCAGAAGTAAAACTATGCTTCTTGTGGAAGCACATATTTTTTTCATGTCCGAAAACACAGTTGTGCTTTTTGTGGAAGTAAATTTGTGCTTTCACCAGAAGCAAATATGGGCTTCTCGTGGAAACACATTTTTTTTGAGAAATACAACACGCTTCTTGATTTTTATTTTATTTTCAAGAAGCACACGCGAAATCTAATATGTGCTTTCATGACAAGCAAATCTGTATTTCTCGTGGAAGCATAATTTTTTTTTCTTTCTAAGAAGCATAGTTGTGCTTCGCAAAACAGATTGCTCCAAAACATAAAAAAAAAACTTATCAAAACTGAAAAGTAAAAAAACAAAAATACATCCAAAACCCGATAATGCGTACAAAAAAGAAAGACCGAAATCGAGAGGAAACACCCATCACGCAAAACGTGACGATGACTGGGTGCATTACTCAGCATGCTCGCATGGCAAGAAAAATTTTAATGGGCCGGGCGAGTATACGGGCTCTGGCCAGAAAATTGGGCCGAGCCCGTATACTCGCAGGAATTTTGCGGGTTCGCGAGATATACGGGGTCTGCTAGAGTTGCTCTTAGACAACTGCTCCCTACTCTGCCGCTCGCGGCAGCAAGAAAATACGGCTACCTCTTGCCCGGAGCTAGATTTTTTTTGAAACTCACACTACTAAATTTTTTAGAAACACCTGTAGTTTTATTCATGATCATAACAATTACGGATACACTGATTTGGACCCAAAATCTAAGAAAATACAAAGTAACTCCTAAAACTAAGAATTACAATGAAATCACTTGAAAACACATTCTTCGCGATATCAATCTCTGCTCGAAGAAATACTCCAAAGACTTTGGTAAAGAGGCTGCAATTCGACCGGAGCAATGATGTCGGCACTCTTTCACGCGCACGAACATTACCAATAATGATTTCTGAAAACGCCTTGAGTCGCCCATCCAAAAAGATGGGAAGCCTTGACCGATGAACATAGGGCCATGGATGATCCCCTAGAAGTGCAGGCTGTTGAATTACTACATCTTCACCATGATGTCCATAAAATATTTAACTTCCATAAAGAATCAAACTAACAAAAAAAAACTTGACACAGTATAAACTCATCAGATTTGAATAATCAGATATGCGAGGACAAAAAGCTCTCTAACCTCATGGCATCACCAAAAGAACGAGAGAATTTATTCTTACAAAACTATGATGATTACTAGACGTTAACGAAGAATATAGAGGTCTTGAAGATCTAAGGTCCCCACATTTTAGCGTCAAGATGACAGCCAGAGACGAGGGCGCCTAAATTTCTCAAATCGCAGTGACAACGGCGGCGCGAGAAAACCCTTGTACAAGAGTGTGCGACCGGAGGTGGGAGCCTCGAGGTAGGTTTTGCCTAGATTTTCTTAGCTAGATGGTAAGACGCTTGCCTCTCTCGATTCTCATTTCTTAAACAGGCAAGGCCCATAAGCATGTGCATGAGCACCACATTAGCCATTTAGTGTTGGGATCTACGGTATGGTGCGCCGACTGTCAATAATTTTTTTTCTAGCGCAAAACATATAAGAACATGCTACGGAAGATGGATCACAGATCGTTAGCACTAGACGCGCAGTGCCATGTAGCGGAAGAAGAGTTGGCGCAGCGCATTCGCATCGATCGTCTCCTCCTCGTTCGATCTCCCTCGAACAGCCGGTCGTCGGATCTCACGTACAGGTTCGCCGAAGCTGCACAAGTGCACCACCTCTAACGGTATTCGAGTGTGCATGAGGAACACCGTGCGGCGGACTGCTAGGTCCAATCACACAGTCGGCGGCGAGTGGAGGTGGCTATTCGCAACACATGCAAACCCTACAGCGCTGAAGCGATCAACCAAATGAGTATGCCGCACCCCACTTTACATAGGCGTCCGTCGCGGGCTCAACACTTGGGCCTCGCACGGACCCTAAAGCCCAAAATCTTTTCGGCCGGGATCCGAGTCCGAGTAAGATCACATCTCACTCGTCGAGTCGTATCGGGCCTCACAGCTTACTTCCCTTAAGCGCGTGACCCCTTAGGTTCAAGTCGGCTTGGTCGCAGGTCGGATCACCTCCGACCTGCTCGGTTGGTAGCGGCCTTTAGCAAGGTGTGCCGACCACCAAGTAGACAATGAAGCCGGTTGGCGAACTTGTATAACATGTCACACTTCTGTTCCCTTTGCCACACGATATATGTTGTCGGGCTCAAGGCGGGTCTGTCATCCTTGTGCTAGCCCGCCCCTCTTTCTCATTCCAGTGATACCGGCCACAAACCGGATTATCTCATAATTCCTGTCGCATGGCCATGCTTATCTTGGTCGGATCACACGAGGAGCCCAGAGTATATCTCTCCTGACCGGAGGGGCAAATTCCATCTTGCTCGACCATGTCTCACAGCATGGGTCTGGACAAATCCGAAACCTACCTTCTTAACTACCCAGTCACGAAGTAGCGTTTGGTTGGCCCAAAACAGGTATGTCGCCATCCCGAGTGCATGCGCCAGCTCAAGTGGACACAGAACATATGTTGTACTAGAGACTCATAAGTGACATATCGCTGCATCTAATAGTTTGGTCTATCCGACTCGGACCTTATCTTGACTCGAATCCTACTATGTTGGATCCGACCAGATCCTTCTGAGTCCATATTATCCGGCTAGCATCTAACGCTCCATGGCTATTGAGACCTAGCCATCCATCGTGTCATATGCTAGTCTAGTCGGTTACGCGTCCACACAACCCTTTCGACTAGGGACCTCTTAGGACAGTCATCATACAACGTATAGTCCCACAAATAATTCACGTACTTGATAACGTCCAAGGACTATCACGGACTATCGTTAATAATGGCCAAGGACTATCGTTAATAACGTCCAAGGACTATCTTTGATAATGTTCAAGACTATCTTTATTCATAAAGACATAAAAAATGTCATCATACATGATTGCCTCTAGGGCATATCTCCAACACTTAGGTATCTACATTATTTAATTCATTTTTTATATTTTGAAATATTACAAATACATATATCAGACAATATAATTAAATTAAATTAATAAAAATGTCATCATGCTTTAAAAAATGTTTATGCACGTAAAAAATGTTCACGTAACTTTTAAAAATGTTGTCTCATTAAAATAAATTGTGACATTTCAAAAATTGTTCCTGTGCTTAAAAATATGTCCACGACATTTTTCCGAAATGTTATACTACATTTTAAAAAAAGCATTGTTTAATGAAAAAATGTTGCATACCGACCATAACAATGTTCGTAACACTAAAAAGATGTTCTAACAGTTAGAAAACGTGTGCACGATTTTAAACACAATTAAAGGTATTATTGTGAAATGGTCAATGTGTGTTATCAAATATTCATGATGTATTTAATATGTG